TCTAATAAAACTTTTTTAGAAATTTCAATTCTAATAGAATTTAATAGAATTTCAATTTTATTAATTTATTTAGAAATTTTTTTATTTTTATATTTTTAATAATTGAAACTATTTTTAAAAAATAAAACATAATTAAATAAATAGAATTGAAATTATTTAAAAAATAAAATTAAATCATTTAAATGTTTAAATATTTAAAAATAAAATTGAATTAATCTTTTGATTTAGGTTACTTTAGATAAATTTTAGTTTAGTAGTTATTCATAATACGTTACTTATAAAATAGTTTGTTGAGTAATTATTAGTTTTAAAAAATATAATTAGTATTCTAATATAAGTTCAAAAAATTGTATAATTTTACTAATTAATTAGTGTGTATAATTATATAATCAAAAAGTAGAATTATATGATGATTATTATTTTCCTAGGATGACATACTCGGTATTTTGGTAAATGAGAGTGTTCATATGATGTGCTGTTATAAATTATTTACGGTCACTATGTTCCAGTGTGCTGGGTTGATGACGTCCCCGAAATGAGCTCAGGAAGGAATATTATGTCAAGCCCTGCAGGCGGATGTGTATCCGACATAATGATTAAGGATCTGATTGGTACTAGTTTCGGAAATGAATAAGAAGTTAATTAATTATTTTGTCAGTAATTTAATTAATCAACGGACATTATATCTTAAACATAGGGAGATAAATCCATCAATTAAATTAATATTAATTTATTAATTAGAGACGAGTTAATTATAATTCACAGCTAAATGGGGAGAGCAATAATATTACTCTAATTGAATGTTTTATTATTTAATTCTATTTAGAAATTAGGAATTAATAATTTAGATTCCATAAGGATAGGAATATTTCTTCTAGAATTTTATCTAGGGTTAGAAGACTATGAGGGGCGGAGCCAGGATTTATAACTTACCCGGGCTAAAATTATAACATATATTAAATAAATAAATTATGATAAAAAAATATTATTTTTTTAAGTGCTTTTGCAAGGAATATAACAAGGTTACACCTCCTATCGATCTCATCTCTGCTCACGAAGAAAAAAAACCTCCGACAGTCGCTCTTCAATCTCAGTCGCATTGCCTTCCTTGGTGACGGCGGGGCTCCGGCCAGTGGTCATCCTCGACCGCCCGGCCTTCCTCCCGATGGTGTATACCACTGATTTTGCCGAGGCGGCTCTGCGAGAGATGGTCAGTCCAAACCCTAGGTTGCAGGTGTGCTCGCGAATGTGGGTGATGAGCTCCTCCGACAGTGATTGGTCAGCGATTGGTGGTGGAGATTGCTGGTTTCTCTCGATTGGAGAAGGTTCCCCCAAACTTCTGTTGTTGTCTACAATTAAAGGTTTCCCTCTGGGTGGCTTCGTTTTTCTGGTAGGGTTCAAAAGGGGCTTTTCGTCTTGTTGGCCAGAGGTCTGCGGCGGTGAAGTTGGTTGGTCTGATGGTCGTCGGGCGGGGCAGGACGCCAGTTGCTGCGGTGGTTTCTGTCCCGGCTTTCGGGGTTGAGGGGCTGTTCCACCCCGGCTTTGCTCGCCTAGTGGTGTTAGGCGGCAAGGTTTTCGGTTATCTTGCACTCGACTAGTGGTGTTAGACGGGCTCAGGTGGGCTGGTTTTGGGGTGGATTATGACTCTCTCGGTCTTCAATGGGTCTATTCGGGGACTGGTTCGGAGTTAGGGTTCTACTACTGTATAGGCTTGATTGCAGTTTTGGTAGTAGGTTTTTGGCTTGGATTGGTCTTGTGTAGATCATTCTCTGCTGACTTGGGCTAGCTCGTTCGCTGGGGAAGGGTTGTTAGATTTATTTTCGCTTATGTATTTTTGTTTCTAGTGTTCTTGTTTATGTGTCTGTATTTGTGCTGTGAGTGTCTTGTGTTTTTGGTTTAGGTCGTTGACCCCTGTGAGCCCGAGTGTCAAACTTTATTACCCTGTGGGGGTCCGACACTCGGGTATTACCCTGTGGGGGTCTTTGTGTTGTGTTGTTGTTCTTTTGTGGTTTTTAGTGTTGTTGAGCATTACTCCGTTGGGGTCGGTTCTATACGGTCTTTTGACCTGTCCTCCCAGTTTTCTCAGGTGTTAGCTGTTTATATTCAATTGTTGGCTGTTTATATTCGGTTGGTGGCTGTAATTCTGCACATTTGTGCCCTTTTATAATATATCTATCGTTTTGGCAAAAAAAAAAGTGCATTTGCAACAAATAATTTTTAAATATATTCATTTAACTAAAATATATATTTTTTTGTTTAATTAATATACTTAGAAAAGTCAACTGACACTTCATAATGACAACAAGAAAACAAAAATTAAAAAGAGAAAAAAACACTTATTAGGAACAAATTTAACTTGTTGAACAATTATTTCTCAAATTTTGAAAAACTATTTAATTTTATCAAGTTAAAATTTCTCAAAATTAATATCTATGAGATGGTTACTTAAATTTAAAATGGTTCGATAATTTTATTTGATGTGATTATGTCATATATTTTAATTAGTTAGACTAACATTATAAACATTGTTTAATTTCAATTTTAGTTATATATATATATATATATATATATATA